TAGAAGCCAGGCGATGCAGGCCCAGGGTGGAGAAACAGCTTGCAGCCAGTTGGTAAAGGCCCAGGGTGGTAAAGCAGCTAAAAGCCAGGCAGAGCAGGCCCAGGGTGGGAAAACAGCTAGAAACCAGGCAGTGCAGGCCCAGAGTAGAGAAGCAGCTAGAAGCCAGGCGATGCAGGCCCAGGGTGGAGAAACAGCTTGCAGCCAGTTGGTAAAGGCCCAGGGTGGTAAAGCAGCTAAAAGCCAGGCAGAGCAGGCCCAGGGTGGGAAAAAAGCTAGAAACCAGGCAGTGCAGGCCCAGGGTGAAGAAACAGCTAGCAGCCAGGCAGTGCAGGCCCAGGATGGATAAACAGCTAGCAACCAGGCAGTGGAGGCCCAGGGTGAAGAAACAGCTAGCAGCCAGGCAGTGCAGGCCCAGGGTGGATAAACAGCTAGCAACCAGGCAGTGCAGGCCCAGAGTGAAGAAACAGCTAGCAGCTAGCAGGTGGATAAACTGCTAGCAACAGGCCCAAGGTGAGGAAACAGCCTGCAGGCTAGTCGCACATGTGCGGAGTCTAATTTAGAGTCCAAAATGTAATATAAACTGTAATATAAAAAGCTCAAGAAAGGCTTGGAATTTAAAGCTAAAAGTGACACTGTTTTCAGACTAAAATTTCACATTACAACACATTAAAAAGCAAGACATGCTTCTCAGAGCAACACAGCACTTTGTTGATCTGCCGCCATCTTGGATTGCCAGGGAAGTTTGAGTCCCTCGACTGTGATTTTTTTCCCCCTGAGAGGATATGTGATCCTAGAGGACTTCAGAGGTGGTTGCAAAGCACCAACAGGCCAGAAAGCCTGCATCCGCTTATCTGTTAGAGGCAAACCAACAGTTGCAATGGAGATGGACTTTCGTTTGGCACAGAGGAGTGTCTGGAAAACTGGCCGCCACCCCAGGGGGGGGAAACTGAGGAGGTAATTGGACGATGGAAGGAACACTTTGAGGAACTCCTGTATCCCATTAACCTGCCCTCTTTGATAGAGGCAGAGCTGGAAGCTGATGGGGGATCATCATCAATTTCCCTGGAGGAAGTCACTGAGGTAGTCAAACAACTCCACAGTGGCAAAGCCCCGGGGATTGATGAGGTCCGTCCAGAAATGGATGAGGAGGGGATGCCTTAGATGACACACTTCTTCAACACTTTGTGGAAATCAGTGCTTAAAGAGTGGCAGACTGGGGTAGCCTCCCTAGGGAGGGGTTTCAGGCACGTCCAGCTGGGAGGAGTCCTCGGGGAAGACTCAGGACTAGGTGGAGAGATTATATCTCCACACTGGCCTGGGAACGCCTCGGGATCCCCCAGTCAGAGCTGGTTAATGTGGCTTAGGAAAGAGAAGTTTGGGGTCCCCTGCTGGAGCTGCTGCCCCCGCGACCCAACACCAGATAAGCAGATGAAGAAGGATGGATGGATGGATGGACTATTTTAATTTTCAGAAATGTATCGTAGCATGATCATGATGTGATGATGAAGAATTTTTAAATTGGTCAAGAAAACTGATAAACTTTTCCCGAGGATCCTTAGCTGTCCCATGACCTTTGCAGGTCTCAAGAGGTCACTAATGGGAAAGTTGGAAGAAAATTTCTCAATGTACTATAGGCCTGCAATAACTCCTAGCACATGAAAAACAAGGGATTAAGTAACCTAAGTTTAGTAAATTACAATTGCTTAGCCTGACCATGTCATGAAGACACTCATACCCCATATTTTAAAGGACATCAAATGACCTCTGAGTTCACTTACGTGGAACTCGAATACAATTCTGACAACAAAGGACAGAAAGACTGACTCTGCAATGTCAATTTAAAATGCACTTAAATTTATAGATTAAGTGTCTAGGCAAACTGGTTATAAGGGGACTGGCTACATCTGTGTATAAGAGTTCATCAGTATTCAGTTTTCTATACATTGAAGCAGCAACACTCAGCAAACCCTTTGGAACAGGCACTGCACGATAGGGTTTTCAAATCCTGACCTGAGTTTTTCCAGTGTACAGTGTGGACTCTCCAATCCAGCAGACAGCAGATTTACTCCTGAATCTTGCAAGTTGTTGTTATTCAGATCCAGCTCTCTCAGACTAGAGGACTTGGAGTTTAGAACTAAGGACAGAGCTTCACAGCTTCTCTCTGAAAGGTTACAGCAGCTCAGTCTAATGAGGAAATAATGAACAAGGAAATATATCATTAGTGTTAAAATGTTGTGTAATTCAACATGTTGTAGATGTAACAATTAATCATGACTAAATCAGGAATTAACCGCTTTACCCAAACAAAAAGTAACTTGATTTGATCTGAGGGTTTCCAGTGTACAATGTGGACTCTCCAGCCCAGCAGACAGCAGCTTAAAACTTGAATCCTGCAGGTTGTTGTTACTCAGGTCCAGCTCTCTCAGACTAGAGGACTCTGAGCTGAGAACTGGGGACAGAACTTCAAGACTTCTCTCAGTGAGGTCACAGCCACTCATTCTGGAAAGAAAATAATGCACAAAATTGAAATAAACATGTGTTATAGGGTATACAGTAGGGCTGACTGTCAAAGCTCATAGACAACAGTTTTTATACACTGTGTCATGTTGTGTAAGAACTTTATTTTAACTTTTAGTTAATTTTTCCCCCTAAAGGTCATCTGGGAGTAATTCATTATGTTCATGTATAATCCTTACATTGTATTCAGTTTTTTTTTTGTCACATGATGCAGTCTGATCGGGAAATCCATTAGTAGTTACATGCCATGCGGTCAGCTTACAGCTCCAGTCACCTTATCCTTTCCCCACTCTGTGCTTTGGGAAAGCATCACTTTTAAGTTATATTTGAATTTATAGTTAAATATATTGGTTCACAAATGTCATGTAAGACATTCTGTGATGTTACTTGAATATGTAATGTGTTCACATGTGAATACTGCCAATGTTAAACTAGCTATTGTATAGCCTTTCTGCAAAGAAGTCATCCATAGTTTCTGTTGGTTATAGCTGTTGGGTTGCACTTACTAGCTATTTACAGATATAAATGTACCAGCTGTAATATGTTTATGTTACAACTTTGTAGCTGTCATTTACATTACTTTATGTATGTTGATGTGTTTGAATAGCATTCAGTGATTGGTGCTATATTTCTGTATAATTTTAGTTTTACAAAATTCCTTCATGAGAAGTATGACAACAGTAAAGAGCTTTGAACTTCATTCCACCCTCTGAATTTCTTGTAGCCACTTAGCTATCTGCCTAGGCCAGAATACACTGCATAACTTATCCTAGGGGATGGCAGACATTTCTTTTCAATTTAAACATGTTGGAGACATGGCAATTAATCAGGATGGAATCAGGAATAAACATGCAACCACTAATAAGTTACTAATTTTCTTCTCCAGTTAACCATGTGGTACAGCGGTTGTTTGTGTCAACACGTAAGAGCTACACAGACATGCAGGATATCAATCAATTTGTCTCTTCAATACGAAGAGAAACAGCCTTTGTAGGATGTTCTGTTCTCAAGCTGTGGCCTGTAAAGCATCGGAGTGCTTTTGGTCATAGGAATATTGACTGCTTTTATCAATATTTCAATGTTTTGGAAGCTTTATGTTATTTGGAAAGTAACTGTATGGAGAGAAATAACATTTTGAAGATGACTCCCAATAAAAGTGAACATATAAAGAGTAAATATGGCCAAAACATTCGCCTGGTATATTTTTGAAAGATTGTGTAACTGTTGTATATCAAATTTTTTAATTCATCAAATTTACCGTTACAGTTGTATTCCAGGTGTATTAGAAGATATTCTTTTGATGGTTTTGATGGTTTATTGCAGAGGTCACTAATAGGCGGACCGCGGTCCGGATCCGGACCCAGCCGCCGTCCTCTCCGGACCGCCGACCTACAGCACATTTATTATTGAGACTTACTACCTCGTGACGGAGCGTTTCTATTTTAACCCGCGCAGCTTTTCTAGCATTTACTGTACTGGTTTAGAGGACCAGGAAACTCTCAGACCAATCGCATGTGCTCCAATCGTCTCATGTGACGCTGCTCAGCCAATCAAATCTGTGCATACCGATGCTTGCGAGTCGAGTCCGCGAGATTCACCAGAGACGTTTTGGAAACACACCCGAATTGAGGAGACGAAAGATAAAAGAGATTTCACATGACTTTTAATCAAGAATGTACAGATTTTTACATGTACATTCCTCCCACGGGCAGTTCAAAACCAGAATATCTCATAGATCTCCAATATGCCAGCTGGAGCTCACGTTTCTCACTGAACAACAGAAAGTAGGAAAGTGGTAGCTCTGTAAGAGGAAATGAAAGAGAAGAGGAGGCATTACAGCTGTTCATTTGTGTGTTTATTATAAAATTGGTTAAGACTTCACTTCATCACTTCAAGCTACACTTTTTATTAAATTTTTTCTAAAAATTAGGCACTTTAATTTAGTTTACTTAAATTTAGAATTTATTATTTGAATAGTTATTATTTATTATCCTTCCAGTTTGATGTGAAAACTGGGAGTAATATTATTTGATTTGATAGTCCGTTGTTGACTAAAAACATGTGTTGATACAACTATAGGTTATGTTACTGAATGATAACGCAAGTTCATCGTTTTGATGTTCCGGACCTTTGCTTCGGGAAATTTTCTCTAACTAGACCTCTTTGAAATCTAATTGAATACCCCTGGTTTATTGCATTAAAATATAGCTTTTTTTTATTAGGTGAGGATGAAAATCTATTTTTTCTGTATTGCATCTCCATGTAGTCTGTAATGGTAAAATAAATATGTTAATGTACAATGGATTTATATTTCTTAGCTTCTGACCTTTCAAAGGAGACCAGAATTATGCATCTAGGCCTAATGGTTGAGGAGATATTACTGATTTATTTTGGGCGTCTTTCCTGGAAATAGGTGGCAGGTACCATGTGGTTAAAAAAAGATTATTAAAAAAGACATTTATTGATGAATAAATCCCACTTACAGAGCTTTCTTGGAGGCTTTGACCACTGGCAGCAGCCTCAGAAGAGCCTCCTCTGAAGCAGAGTATTTCTTCAGGTCAAACACGTCCAGATCTTTTTCTGATGACAGTAAGATGAAGACCAGAGCTGACCACTGAGCAGGAGAGAGTTTATCTGTGGAGAGACTTCCTGAACTCAGGGACTGTTGGATCTTCTCAACTAGAGAACGATCCTTCAGTTCATTCAGACAGTGGAACAGATTGATGCTTTTCTCTGCAGAGTGAGTCTCTTCGATCTTCTTCTTGATGTACTCGACTGCTACCTGGTTAGTTTCTGAGCCACTTCCTGTCTGTGTCAGCAGGCCTCTTAGGAGAGTCTGATTGGTCTGCAGTGAAAGTCCCAGGATGAAACGGACGAACAAGTCCAGGTGTCCATTTGGACTCTGTAAGGCCTTGTCCACAGCACTCTGGTAGAACTGTATCACTGCAGATTCATCATTTCTTGTTTCAGACTTCTGGGAGGTTGATTGTTCTTCTACCAACAGATTAACACCAGAGTTGATGAAGGTCAGATGGACATGAAGAGCAGCCAGAAACTCCTGAACGCTCAGATGGACGAAGCAGAACACCTTGTCCTGGTACAGCCCTCTCTCCTCTTTAAAGATCTGTGTGAACACTCCTGAGTACACTGAGGCTGCTCTGATATCGATGCCACACTCTGTCAGGTCTGATTCATAGAAGATCAGGTTTCCTTTCTGCAGCTGCTCAAAAGCCAGTTTTCCCAGAGACTCAATCATCTTCCTGCTCTCTGGACTCCAGTGTGGATCTGTCTCAGCTCCTCCATCATACTTGGTGTTCTTCAGTTTGGACTGAACCACCAGAAAGTGGATGTACATCTCAGTCAGGGTCTTGGGCAGCTCTCCTCCCTCTCTGGTCTTCAACACCTCCTCCAGAACTGTAGCAGTGATCCAGCAGAAGACTGGGATGTGGCACATGATGTGGAGGCTTCGTGATGTCTTGATGTGGGAGATGATTCTGCTGGCCTGCTCCTCATCTCTGAACCTCTTCCTGAAGTACTCCTCCTTCTGTGGGTCAGTGAACCCTCTGACCTCTGTCACCATGTCAACACACCCAGGAGGGATCTGATTGGCTGCTGCAGGTCGTGTGGTTATCCAGAGGCGAGCAGAGGGAAGCAGGTTCCCCCTGATGAGGTTTGTCAGCAGCACATCCACTGAGGTGGACTCTGTAACATCAGTCAGGACCTCATTGTTGTGGAAGTCCAGAGGAAGTCGACACTCATCCAGACCGTCAAAGATGAACACAACCTGGAACTCTTCAAAGCTGCAGATTCCTGCTTCTTTGGTTTCAGTAAAGAAGTGATGAACAAGTTCCACCAAGCTGTACTTTTCCTCTTTCAGCACATTCAGCTCTCTGAAAGTGAATGGAAATGTGAACTGGATGTCCTGGTTGGCTTTGCCTTCAGCCCAGTCCAGAGTGAACTTCTGTGTTAAGACTGTTTTCCCAATGCCAGCCACTCCCTTTGTCATCACTGTTCTGATTGGTTCATCTCTTCCAGGTGAGGCTTTAAAGATGTCTTCTTGTCTGATGGTTGTTTCTGGTCTGGCTGGTTTCCTGGATGCTGTTTCAATCTGTCTGACCTCATGTTCATCATTGACCTCTGCAGTCCCTCCCTCTGTGATGTAGAGCTCTGTGTAGATCTGGTTCAGAAGGGTTGGGTTTCCTGCTTTAGCAATCCCCTCAAACACACACTGGAACTTCTTCTGCAGCTTAGATTTAAGTTTACACTGACAGACTGCAGCAGGAGGTCTTGAATGAACACACAAAACATTTGATCAATTAATAAAACTAAATCACAAAGTCACTATTTCACCATTTCCTTACCCTCAACAATGCACATATTTACAAATTACGCTCCGTCCCTTGAGCCATCAGTAAATGTCCCGTTTATCCAGCAGCTTAAATCTTTAGAGAAATCCTCTTACTGCTCTGCAGACGCTCAGCCAGCTCCTCCTGCTTCATTCTCCTCAGGAAGTGCAGTGTGATCTTCAGAAATGCCTCTCTGCTGCTCCTCCTCTGCTCTTCCTCCTTACCCTCCAACACCTCCTCATCCTCCCTCTGACTCTTTAAGCATTCTGGGTAATCTGAACTCAGACCCTTCTGGATCTTCTTCAGCTCGTTCTTCACAAAAGTGACAATGTTCTCCTCCAGCAGCTGGAACAGAATATTATATGAAGGACACAATCAAAGTCAAATCATGGAACCAAACATCAGATCCATGTTGGACAGACTGACAATCCACTGGTCTAAAAAGTGCAGCGTGGAGATTATTGTGAACAGAATAGATGGAAAAGTAGTTGTTGTACATGTACAGACCATAAATATGGAGTCCAGGTGTGTTTGATCCTGCTGGGCAGACTGACCACTGGGAACCTCTGAGCTCTCCTGGTGGACTCTGTGGAGGAATCATGAAGAGTTAGCTCACATTATGTCTGTCCACACAGAGACAGACACAAGGTAAAGTCCTCTGAGTTAAATTGTTCATAACAACACTGCATAAGATGGTTTCCCCTGATATTAAAGCATTGGTGGTACTGTTGACACCACTATGACTGAACAGTCCAGTCTTCCTTTCTGTGCACTTTTCAGCTTGTCTGGTTTAGTTTAGCTCAACCGGCCCCCTTATAATTCTGTGGACAGATACGCACAACTCACACAAGCAAACAGGATTTTTTTCCAGCGCAAATTCGTAGTGAGTCACAATAATTAAACTTGTAGCAGATGAAGTCAGTTAAACATTAGGAAGATCAAAGAGAAAACCAGAGAATACTGGATCAAACCAAAAGTAACAATAATTTCACTCCCAACTCTGTGTCAAATAAAAGCTAGAATGTACTTCTCTGGGCTACATGTAAGCAAACAGGCACGGATGATGGTCATAGAAGTTGGTATGCCTGTTTTCTTTTCCACTTGTCTGACACGTTTTTGAGCTTTTTAGAGGTAACATTGCCTCCTCTCTGAGCGTCTGCAGCCTGTAGTTATCCATAACACCCACCTCTGCATTGTGAATGAAGAGCAGTGACAGGCAAGATAAGATAAGATAACTTTATTGTCTGTCACAAGTGACTGAAATTTGTCTTTGACAAGATAGGCTCAAAAGACATAAAAACACATATAAAGCATAGATACACTGAAGACAATTTAGCCACATTAGTTGTACAGACAATTCGTAATCCATAAAATCAGAATTGGGTGAACCTGAAGCTCAACTAGATGTTTCAGAAGTGTATATATGTGTACAGTATTAAAAGCAGATGAAAAGTCTATAAATAAAATCCTTGTGTGAGTGTGTAATGAGTCCAGCTGTCTGGTCACAGTCTCCAAGAAAGTTGCATCCTCCACTCCACATTTGGCTTCATAAGCAAACTGGAGTGGGTCCAGTCTTCCTGTCACAGAACTGTTACCTACCACTCTTTCCATACATTTGCAGAGTACCGATGTCAGGGCAACTGGCCTAAAATCCTTGGGGTCCTTGGCATGTGTCTTTTTAGGAATCGGGATGATGGTTGACTCTTTCCACTGGTGAGGAATACAGCTTGAATCCAGGAACATATGTTAAAATCTAGATCTATTCAGTGAATCACTACCTGATTGTGAAAAGTGGGACCATGCTGCATGGTGATTTTATACTGTAAATAAATATGATTTGTAACTACAGCCTTGCGACTTTGTCCTGTGACTGTTTTGTGAGATGGTAATGTAGGTATTCTTTAGTAGTATTCTCTGACATGACTGTTCTCTGGGATTTCCAGACTTGCAAATAGTTCCCAAGGGTCTTGAAAAGGTTCAGAGGTGACCGGAAAAACACTTGAAGAAAAACACTAGTGTAAGCTGGCCCAATTGATTAAATTTGGTTCGCTTTAGTAGAACGCAGCGTTGTTTGAGGAATGAGTCTCAATTGCAGGTATAACACAAAAGAGGACGGTGGGAATGGAGCAGGGTGGGACAGGGTACCATGTGGGGAGCATGTTAGGGTTGCATGGTCGAATTTGCCCCGGTATGGGAGGTCAGTGTAGTAGGTGTCAGTAAAAAGAACTCAAAATGCAGATCACTCACTGTTCTTACTAAAACAAATTTTAATTCATTTCAAAACATTATTATATTATAGCATTATTTATATATATATATACACAGTGGGTACGGAAAGTATTCAGACCCCTTTAAATTTTTCACTCTTTGTTTCATTGCAGCCATTTTCCAAAAATCAAAAAAGTTCATTTTATTTCTCAGTAATGTACACTCAGCACCCCATCTTGACAGAAAAAAACAGAAATGTAGAAATTTTTGCAAATTTATTAAAAAAGAAAAACTGAAATATCACATGGTCATAAGTATTCAGACCCTTTGCTCAGTATTTAGTAGAAGCACCCTTTTGATCTAATACAGCCATGAGTCGTTTTGGGAAAGATGCAACAAGTTTTTCACATCTGGATTTGGGTATCCTCTGCCATTCCTCCTTGCAGATCCTCTCCAGTTCTGTCAGGTTGGATGGTAAACGTTGGTGGACAGCCATTTTCAGGTCTCTCCAGAGATGCTCAATTGGGTTTAAGTCAGGGCTCTGGCTGGGCCATTCAAGAACAGCCACGGAGTTGTTGTGAAGCCACTCCTTCGTTATTTTAGCGGTGCGCTTAGGGTCATTGTCTTGTTGGAAGGTAAACCTTCGGCCCAGTCTGAGGTCCAGAGCACTCTGGAAAAGGTTTTCGTCCAGGATATCCCTGTACTTGGCCGCATTCATCTTTCCCTCGATTGCAACCAGTCGTCCTGTCCCTGCAGCTGAAAAACACCCCCAGCATGATGCTGCCACCACCATGCTTCACTGTTGAGACTGTATTGGACAGGTGATGAGCAGTGCCTGGTTTTCTCCACACATACCGCTTAGAATTAAGGCCAAAAAGTTCTATCTTGGTCTCATCAGACCAGAGGATCTTATTTATCACCATCTTGGAGTCCTTCAGGTGTTTTTTAGCAAACTCCATGCGGGCTTTCATGTGTCTTGCACTGAGGAGAGGCTTCCGTCGGGCCGCTCTGCCATAAAGCCCCGACTGGTGGATTGCTGCAGTGATGGTTGACTTACTACAACTTTCTCCCATCTCCCGACTGCATCTCTGGAGCTCAGCCACAGTGACCTTTGGGTTCTTCTTTACCTCTCTCACCAAGGCTCTTCTCCCCCGATAGCTCAGTTTGGCCGGACGGCCAGCTCTAGGAAGGGTTCTGGTCGTCCCAAACGTCTTCCATTTGAGGATTATGGAGGCCACTGTGCTCTTAGGAACCTTAAGTGCAGCAGAAGTTTTTTGTAACCTTGGCCAGATCTGTGCCTTGCCACAATTCTGTCTCTGAGCTCTTCAGGCAGTTCCTTTGACCTCATGATTCTCATTTGCTCTGACATGCACTGTGAGCTGTAAGGTCTTATATAGACAGGTGTGTGGCTTTCCTAATCAAGTCCAATCAGTATAATCAAACACAGCTGGACTCAAATGAAGGTGTAGAACCATCTCAAGGATGATCAGAAGAAATAGACAGCACCTGAGTTAAATATGAGTGTCACGGCAAAGGGTCTGAATACTTATGACCATGTGAAATTTCAGTTTTTCTTGTTTAATAAATTTGCAAAAATTTCTACATTTCTGTTTTTTTTTCTGTCAAGATGGGGTGCTGAGTGTACATTACTGAGAAATAAAATGAACTTTTTTGATTTTTGGAAAATGGCTGCAATGAAACAAAGAGTGAAAAATTTAAAGGGGTCTGAATACTTTCCGTACCCACTGTACATATATGAAATATTCTAAACAATTCAAGTTTGTTTAAAATAAAAAATATAAATGCAACTTAATTTTTTTTTTAACTTAAAGAACAAAAGATGTTTGCAGTTACACATTAATTAAGGATCACAGTCATGTTTATTTATTAAATACAAGTGTAACACAAAAAATCTAGCTTGTATTGTTGTGTTACTTTTGTCCCAGCTGACAGGGTCGAAACTAACAATGTGCCACATATGTTTAAAGTGAAATTATACGGAAGTAGTTCTATTATATATATTACATTTGTACAAAATACCACCTGATAATGATAGACCACACCTGTGAGTTAGTGACCACTGCAAAAATATATCACTGTCTGAAACATTATCTTTTCAAATCAGGTTTTTCTGAAAAATGGTACTTTCCCCCCCTCTCTCCCTACTTGAAACCAGTAGTATAGAAAACATGCACATTGTGACATAGTTTGCTTTGCTGTCGCCTGCTCCTGTGATAAACCCAGTGAATACTAAAGAAGACCGTGGTCTCTGTGTGAACTGATTATTTTGTAGAAAAGTATCATGATTGATTGTAGAGTTGAAGGCTAGCCAAATTAATCCTCAGCTGAAAATGTGAACACGTGTTTGTTGTTCTGTTGTTTGTTGTAGATAACTAAAATCATCATTAGCTGCTGTTTAAACAAAATGCCCTTTTTTTCACTTGAGCCTCTGCCTACCAAAATGTCTGTGCACGTCCCTGTTAATAATATTATATTTTATACAGCATTGCTCATTCATCATTTACCAGACTGGGATTTCCTTAATGAATGAAAAAGTGCCGGAATTCTCCTACAGCCCATTACATTCGTTTTAAATAGGAAGGCTATATTTAATAAGCTGTAACCTGACAGGACTAAATGCCAGTGGCAATAACTGAAGATGAAAATATTAATCAAACAGATTAGACATAGTTTAGGCTACTCACGGACCTGTAATTGTAAAGCCGCAGTCCGACTCAGAAGGTTAGCCAATTAATGATTTTTTGGCAATGGAATACTATGTATCAGGTATCTAGATACAAAAATCCCTTTTAAACTATCTACTACTAACTAATACTGACTAACTATTTGTTTCAGCTGCACCACAGTCATCCTCACTTTTTAACTATTGTTCTTTTTTTGCTTTAACAAGGCATTTAGTGTAAAAGCATTACAAAATTAACCTGCGATAACCAGCAACAAAGCACACAAAATATATACATACATACACACAAATACCTATAAGGAAATATATCCTTTAAGATAGAACAGAAGAGATGCTAGGCACGCACGCACAGAAAAACAAAACAAAGAAAAGAAAAGAAGTGCCTTTCACAGTAGTCTGAGCCATTAGGATAGATCTGATGGGAAAGGTGATAATTGGGACAACTTTCAGATGACCCACAGCATCATAAGACAGTCCAGTAACTCCCGCCTGCACCTCAAGCCAAGTAAATACGGCCAACCAGTGTCCCATTAATTAGCTAATATGTCACCCACCACACTTCGCTCAATCAAATCCAACAATGGTCCCCAAACCTTAGCAAAAGTGTTTTGTTTACCCTTAACCATGCATGTAATCTTTTCCATTGTTATACAGGAAGA